AAAAAAAAATTATTTTATTTTTTTATTTTTTTTTGCACACTACTCTTAGGTTTGCCACCTGACTGGTATTTTACTGGCACAGCCGGTATTTAAGGCCTGGCCATGCTGGTATTGCAGTAATACCGGCAATACAACACAGGTATTTTTCTCAGTATAAATGGAGATTACTCTGCAATACCAGCACCGTGGTGAAGAGAGGCAGGGATAGAAAGTTACAGCATATCCCTCTCTGCCTCTCTCTGCTACTCACTGATCCGTGGGGGAGCAACAACACAGCACAGAGAGTCAGCTCTACAGCTCAGATAAGTGAGGGATAGGGGGGAAAGGCAGCAGGGACACATGGGGACACTGAGACACTAGGGAACACTGAGACACTAGGGGACATATGGGGACACAGACACAAGGTGACACATACACTAGGAGACACATGGGGACAAAGACACTAGGGGACACAGACACTGGGAGACCTGGAAACACTGGGACATAGGAAAACATGGGGACACTGACACTTGGGGACACTGGAAAACATGGGGACACTGAGACACTAGGGTACACTGGGACACATGGGGATGCTGTGAGACATAGGGACATTGGGAGACACTGAGACATTGGGACATGGAGACATTTCTCCCAGTGTCCCCATGTCCCCCATCCAGTGTTGCTAGAGTCTCAGTGTCCCCAAGTCTCCCAGTGTCTGTGTCCCATGTCTCTCAGTGTGCCCAGTGTCCCTATATGTCCCAGTGTCCCCATGTCTATGTCCACAACTGTCCCATCACCCCACAATAGATCCAGAAGTCATCCATACCAGAGCCAGGTTCCTTGGCTCTGATTTTGTGAGTGTTTCCTTGCACTTATTGCACTTTAATATATATTGTAAACTGTCTATACAATTTTGCATATTTCTCTATCTCTGCAGCAATATATTGGAGAAGAGGAAAGAACAAAATTGCTCCAAGCATAGTTTCTAGTTGGTGCATGTACCATTTGTGACATGAAGGTGTAATTTTAAACATTCAAAAACCTGATTCCCCTTGCTGAAGTACTAGTCACTCTATCCCAATTTATGTCCGGGTAATTCAAATCTCCAATAATTAACGTGTTTAATTTGCTCTAACAGCTGTTTTTCCTATACAAACAAATGAGTTAGCACACAAAATTGGGTACAATAAAAAATATATATAATAGAACTAATTTTACAGCATGCAAAGTGTATGTATATATAGATATTGACAACTTCTTTTTTTTTAAACAATTTTGCTCATATAATCCACATGGGATATGCAGTTACCCCTTCCAAACTTCTCCAACACTTCTAGGAAGATAATTCAAAAGACCATCTGAGGGGAAAGAAACTTAAGATGGTGTAATATTGTTAAGTGAGGAGCCTCCACCATACACACCCTATGTGGAGGTCTCACCTTGTAAAAGTGCACTTTCTCTGCACTTGTATTGAATCCCAGGTAACATGTTATACTTGGATTTTAAATAGTCCCACAGTGTGTTACAATGTGAGTAATAACGGCCTTCCAGTCTTCAATCTTATTGCACTTTATTTGATCTCCATAAAAGTAAGTAAAAAAAAAAAAACCTTTAAAATACAAACGAAAGTCTTGCAAA